CAGACTGACACAGAAAGACAGTGCACCAAGGAGCCCCAAATGCAATTTATAAAAGAGCAATTGTGCCTCGACTATCATAGGCGGCACCAGTTTAGTATTCGGATCTAGACACTCAAAAAAAAAGTTTAGACGCTAAGAAGTGTACAACGCAAAATTGCATTAAGAACTATAAGGGGATTCAAAACAAGTTGATTGGAGGTGGCTGTTACACTCGCAGGATTTATTCTCATTGATATAAAGATAAAGTAAATTGTACAAATATGTGAAACAAATAAAGAGAACACCATCCTTTCTTTTCTTGTAATATGAAATAAAAAAATCTTTGCCTTGGGATAAGTGGTGCTAAATCGGATCATCCCGGGAAAACTGAAAATATAGCATCATATCAATTAAAGACCCCACTACGAGATTTTTACTGACGGCAGTAAAAAGGATAATGCAGTTGGATGTACTTTCGTAGTTTTCGGAGACAGGAATGTTGTGGTTTAAAAGCGATTCAAATTGGCAGAATGGTGCTCTAACAAGCCGAGTTACTGGCCTTATACGAAGCGTGGAGTGGTTGAGAAATAATGCACAAGAAAAAAAGGATTTGAATCTGCTGTTGTTAAAAGTTGCCTTGTCAATAACACAGGGTCCTAGAAACCACAACCAACTCCCCCCAAAAAATAAGGCGAACCCTTGGAAAAATGAGTAACGAGCAAAGTTGATAAATAAATCTAGAGTGGATCAAGACCCACACTGGCTTCGACGTTAAGGAAAAGGCGGACAATATGGCAAGAAGTGAAACATAAGATGGAAATTTACAAATCGTCTTCGCAACTAATGATCAACTTTATTTTCAGAAGCAAACTAAGCAGCTATGTTTAAAAAATTTAGAGAAAAATAAATTTTTAGTTATGGTAAAGAAAATATTGGTTCAAAATCCAATATATAAGAAACAAGAATTTATAGGTATAAGCAAAAGCATGTGAAATGAGGTTGTAAACAATTCTCATCCTGCATTCTTATTCCATGTAATTGAAACAATATAAAAAACTCATTTTACATTTATTTTAAATTTGTTGGTTAATGTAAGAAAACCTTTTCAAGAGGTTTTTTGTAAATAAAAAAGTAAATAGATTATTTCTTTACATTTATTTGGCGTTCCGGGGGTTTACACCCGCCGTCATCAGCATCTATAATTTTTTATACATAAATGCTAATGACGGCTGGTGTAAACTCCCAGAACGTCCAAATAAATGTAAAGAAATAATGTATTTACTTTTTTATTTAAAAAAACCTCTTGAAAAGGTTTTCTTACATTAACCAACAAATTTAAAATAAATGTGAAATAATGACAGTTTTTTATATTGTTTTAATATAAATGGAATTAGAATGCAGGATGAGAGTTTTTCATAGGAGTATCATGTTAAATTGGCGGTAAGGATTATAATTTTAAGATTTAAGAAATTAAGACATGAATTGAGCGGTAATTTAGCTGACAATTTCATCCATATTGTAACAGCTAAGCGTGCAACGTATTTAATCGTCGAACATCCACCAGATTTAAAAAGATTGCAAATAGGTGAGAAGAATTACCTGAGAAACAACCCGTTTTTGGTAGGCGGCAGGCCGACATTGCCGATTCTAATTGTGTTCAACTCATTAGTCTCGAATTGCCATCCATTAGGTGTGGCAATCATGAGTAGTGCCTTACCTAATGCTGGAGCACTCCCGGGGGATTGAAGTGCTCCAACAACAAGGCTACTAACTCAATGAACGTTAGTACTGTTTTTACAGAAAGTTGCGAAATTAACTCGGAGAACAGATCAAAATAAAACAAAAAACAAATTTTAGAAATTCAAAAAATGAAAAGCGAAGAAATACACTCGCATTTAATATGAATGGCCTTTGTTGTAACATTAATCACACAATAGGTTTAAAAAATTATACCAATTAATATTACAGAAAAGAAAACGATATGGAACTTGTTTTGTTAAGGATAAAGGAGAGGCCAACGTTTGAACGGTCACTTTCGTTCCAAACGATGGGAAAAATTAAATTAGATTAGCCTCCTCGCCTCGTGAATAATGTGGTTGAAATGTTGGCAAGGTTGACGTGAATTAGTTCCTTGTCTTTAAAAACAGCCGAACGGACGCCAACTCCTGACATCGCAAATGCCTAATTTCACCTGGCCATGTAGTTTTGATGGCTATCGTTTATCCCCGAATTTGTCTATAAACACATCCACAATTGGGTAAAACATGGCTGAAAATGCTTTACATTACAAATGACAAAATGTTCAGAATAATATAAATACATTTACCCCGCCATTGCAAGCGCCCAATTTAATAAGTGATGTTTATCCTTGAATTTGTCTATAAAGCAAAAAAAGTGAGAAAAGATTTTATCTAAATTCACTGTTTTTCGTGGTCCGCTTGAGCAATTAATATTTTTCCATTAATTAAGGTTTTTAGTTGAGATAAAAAAAGTCAGTGTCACGATCGCGATTCGAACCCACGACCTTCACCTTCGGCTAGATACGTTGCTACTGTACCACTTGAGGTATCGTGACTTCGATCCACTCGGGCATTAACTTCCCATCTCATCCCCCCCTTTGAATTTTCCCTTCTTTTAGCCATTTTTCAAATGTTGTGTAATTTATTTGATTCTAGGCGACAAATGAAATGGCCACGGAGAGCTTTAGTGAAGATATACTTCATTTAAACTTATTAAATTCACTAGTTTTTGTGGTCCGCTTGACCAATTAATATCTTTCAATTAATTAAGCTTTTTAGTTGAGTTAAAGTACTGTTTTTCTAAAAGTATTTTTGCAAAGCATTTTTTTAAAAGTAAAGTTTTTCTAAAACAATACTTCTATGCCCACAACTTTCAGATTGACTATATTTATGTAAATATATTGGACCCTCGCAAAGCAAGCACTCATAAAAACACACACACACAGACATATACATATGCTATCTACAATAGATGTATATATCTTTGTGGGTGGATCAGGCGGTAAAATGAGTGCAGGCTTTTGAATAATTACAGTTTCTTTTAGATTTTTTAAGTATTTTGCTTCATACTGTATTGGGTTTGGTTGGCAAAATAGTATCATTAATCAGAAAACAAAAATATGATTTGTCTGGATTACGGCGAACCGTAAATACTGGCAGACTTCGTTTGGGCCAGAAATCAATTTAACAATAAAGATTTATAACGTCAATTTTTAAAAACGGATCTATCCATGATTTATTGAACCACGAATCAATATTTTACTAAATGTGTTCTGTAGTGACCAGTCGTTCAATAATGTTTCGAAGTCGTGAGGAGCAGACTGGACAACTGTTTTCATTTTTTTGCCGACGTTTCGACCTTTATTCGGGTCATCTTCGTGGCCTGGATGAATTACAAAACAACATATGTTGATGGGAAAAAATTTCAATACAGATTTAAATAAAATTTTTTATTTTATGTAAGTATGAAATACTTCAGTAAAAATTTATACTTACATCTGTATTGTAGTTTTTTTCCAGTCAACATGTTTTGTAATTCATCCAGGCCCTGATGATGACCCGAATGAAGGTCAAAACGTCCGCAAAAAAGGAAAAAAGTTGTTATTCAAAACTACTTCATTCCTGACCGCTCCTCACGACTTCGTCAAATTATTTTACTAAATGGTATTTAGCTCAAATAATTTGCGATAGAGCATTAATTCACCTGGCGGATGGTGGCCTTTTTTAAAATTTAAATAGATTTGTTTTTTAATTGTACAAAATCCATGATAGAATTGAAGAAAAATTTGATTGAGAATTTACATTGAATTACATGGTGTCCTTTGAAACAAATGGTACATTAAGGTTTTCTCATGTTTAACAACTAATGAAATACCAAAGTGAGAATATTTGCTAAACATTCGGGTTTTCTGTTAAAATTCAAATGAACGTCCACATGTATTTCATCGTATCATATGGTTAGCCCAAAATGATGATACAAAAAGCGGGGAACGCGATAGCCCAGTGGTATTTGCCAAGTTGGCTTTTTAATTGATAATGTTATAAAAAGCGCATTGTATAACATGAATTACTTAATTAATTAAGCGGAATTAATTGAGCGGATCGAAGTCACGATAGCTCAAGTTGTAGAGCAGCGGCGTATTTAGCCGAAGATCGTGGGTTCAAATCCCGCTCGTGACACGACTTTTTTATCTCGACCAATACCTTTCATAAATATTAATTAATTGAAAAATGTTAATTGGTCAATCGGATCACGAACTGTAATGGATTTAAGAATTAATTAAAGTTGAAAATTAGCATAAAATCACCCCAACGTTACTTCAATTTTCCAACATACCTTCAAAATTTAACTAAGCTGATTATTAAACATTTCACTGAATTCATTTTAGCGATTACAAAAGTTTTCTCCCGATTAGACTGTGGGAGGGGTATCAAGAGGATTAAAACTCAAAACTTGTTCCTCGTTGTGCTCGATCACCATAGCGGCTTGCAAAATATTAAAATATACAATATATCAAAGATTACAGATCGATGTAATATTGGTAATAAGCGCTAAGACATATCGAAATTTTAAGCGAACTAAATAAGTTTATATTAACAAGAAAAAAAAGACCAGTTGTATAAAATTTTCAGTAAAAAAGTCTGCTAAAAACACATTCAGGATGACATTTTTTAATGGCTTTATTTTTCAACATTAATCAGAGCTCATCATCCATTAATTGTTCGGTTTTTTGGGGTAAGGGGTGGCCAGGAGTGACGGTAGATTTGAACCCACGACCACGGGGTCTACTAGCTTTGTCTAACCACTCGGCTACCGCAGTTTATAAGATTAAAACATTATTTGAATTATTAATTAATTGTGTAATAATGACTAATAATTGAATTAATATTAAATTGACAGGGATTCCGATGTACGTAGCGAATAAAGTTCAACCGCGAAAAGTGTGTAATGAGGGCAACTGGAGTGCTTTAAATAAAGATTTCAAGTGTGAATTGACTTACCGTTTCTATTTTCACTGTCGGCAGGCTTCATTTGAATGGGATGATGCATCTGAAACAAAAGAAATACAGAAATGAGACTCAATTTTCTTTGGATTTTTGTCTTGCGGCTGAATGCAGTTCTAAAATAGACGATTTTGACAGGTTTACTGGGGGCCTTATCGGAATTAAACGGCAGGCTGAAAATAACTGGACAGATGCCATTCCAGGCATCACAAATAGACGTCAGCAGGAGAAAAAGCCCGAACATCCGAACCCCCAGGAGTTAATTTAAACATTGGGCCCAAACTTTGAATGAGCCTTGTCTTCCGACCCTCAAAGAAAAACTACCTGTAAAAGAGACCGTGGGGAAACTTTAAAGATTGGGTTACTTGAGGCAAGTCGATATTTTATAATGAGCTTCACCTAGGTCTTTTATATTTTACTTTTGAGTAACACTCTAGCTGCGGGTCTCTTGACTTGTTAAACTTCCGGAAAAGTGGAAGGAATAATTCGAGCCTTTGCAATATAATAAAATCGCTTCTCACTTACGAATGATAAGTTCTGAATTTCGTGCCTATACAAAACAACGATATAATTGCATTAAAAGTCGTAATAACCATGGTAAAAAATGCTACCGTAACTTCTCGGCCCAGGCATTCATCGAAAAGATACTTTACACAAATTGGGAAACAATGTTGCAAATGTATTTACATTTAATTTACTACTTGTATGTCTGAACAACGATTTTATTTAGATTTTACCAGTTACCAACCAGGTATAACCACTTTTCTATTGGTCAAAATGGAAAGTTCGAAAATATATAATGAATGTCACATATCGATTGTAGATAAGTGAAATCAACAGTGAATTATTTATACACATTTTATAATTTTATAGGAGGAAAGTGTACATACTTTCAGACACATCTTACATCTACACCAGACATTAAATAAACAGAAATAAACATAAACAATGCAAAGCTACTGCTAAATCTAAATTTTTAATAAAAAATTTCGTAGTAGCATGTATTAAAATTTAAATACTATATTATTGTATTCTATTGCTTTATGACGCTGATTTTCAATATCCAGATAATTGTATATACGGTGGATTAACTAACTGTTTTAATTTCTTTTGGAAAAAAAGCCTGTGTATTTGTGTAGTAATTTAGAAACGGTTGAATGACAGACTGGTTTGAATTTAAAAATCAAAGATTAACGTCTCTAATGGCCGGCAGTCCCATATATTTTACGACTTAGGAGCCTTTGAAATTTTTGATATAGCCTCATTTATGAAATGAAAAAATCGTGATAACTCATTAAAATGTCTGTAATGAATCAATATTGGTTGGCCTTAATTTTTGACAGTTGTCAAATGAACAATGTTTGGCATTGAAACCTATTTTTTTCCGTATCTCTTCACGATAACTTCTATTGTATTGATGATAAAATTAAATTTATCATTGTATTTACTGATAAGCTACAAGTTAAAGAACCAATTTTATTATTTATAAAATCAATTGGAAATGCATCGGAACGGCGTGATTAATACATGTTTCAAATAACACTTAGTAACGAGAAATATTTGAAAACTGAAAGCATGGCAAAGAAGGTTTTTGCCGGTTAACCTGACGAATTGAATTAAACACAGAATAAGAAAAAGGGACGAACCCTTTTACTGTCGTAGGGGCAAGGGTGGCGAAATGTCACCAAATGTTTCTTCATATTGCTACTTTCCTTTCTTTTTTTGTTATCCTGGTTAATAATGGAGCCATCTCACTTCTGGGCTTCGGAAAATGGAAGAAAACCCTTCATAAAACGGGACGAAATACACAAAGGGCACAAAGGAAAGATAAATACTGAAATAAATTGAAAGAACAACCAAAGAGGGGGTGAGATAAAAATAGAATCGATAATACAATATTATTGTAAAGATCAAAGACATTTTTGGTTATTATTTACCAACGAAGGTATAAAATTTCATTACAATATGATTAGTGTTTCGCTACATTAATGAATGTTACATTTCCGCAAGAATAGGCGGACCAGGATGGTCAATTCAAAAACGACAAACTGTTGAATAATTCAATAAGAATGAATACCGCCTGAAATGAGAATTTGCTCGAGTACGACAGCGAAATGGATTTTCCATTTCGATTTCTGGTGGAAACTAGGGTAGTTCTGTACAAATAGACTTTTATTTCAGGTAATCTTATCTATGCGTGTATTTATATTAAGTTTAAATATATTATAGATGACTTAATTGTTTCAAGAAAATTTATATGCGTGAATGCGTGAATGTTTGTGTCGTACATGAGCGTTGATGGCTGAATATCAAGTACCTCATCGACCCTCAATAAGACTAGGTTTTGTATGTACAGTGGTTTATATGTGGTGATGGAGAAATATCTACCATTCAATTAATTACCCGACTGGTATGAAAGGTATGCAAATAAGAAAGAATGAGTGAGCGAGTTTAAGTTAAAACTACACGCGTTGGGGCTAAAATGGGGTCATCAGCAATATGTGTACACAAGTGCATATATCGGCAGAAATGAGCCTATACAAATATGTAAAAAACAATGAATGATTAACATGCTGCACAGTTGTTTAACCAAAAGTCAAAAATCTGTCTAAATATAAAAGAAATAAGCCAGGAACACACCCGATGCAACGCAACGCGACGCTACCCGAAGCTACCGACGCAAATCCGAAGTCCGTTTTTCCATAAGATTGTACTACCCCCGTGCACATCTGCCCGATGCTATGCTATGGTACCCTACTCTACGCTCTGCGATTCCCACTGTCCAGATTTTCATCGGGTCGCATCAAGTACAGTCGAGGGCAAAAGAACCGGACATTCATACTTTTATTCAAACTACAAGTATTATTGCCGTTGTATTAATTACAACATACTTATTTTGGTATAAACCAAATTAACCGAGATCAAAAATTCATTAGTTTTTAGTAAAAAAATATTTTTAATGGTTTGGTAGAAAATTGATCAAAACACCAGAATACCATTTTATGATATAATGAATTTAACTAACGATTTATTACACGGTTTTACTAAAAAAATTTAACTAACAATTTGTTTCACTGCTTTGTTCATAAAATTACACCATTTTCGTTGCGTAGTGTCAGAACAGGACACTCGTATTTTTGTAGTTTATTTCAAACTAAGAATATGTAATTTTGTCGTTATATTAATTACAACATTCCTATTTTAATGTAAACCAAATTAACCGAGATCAAAAATTCATTAGTTTTTATTAAAAAATTATTTTTAATGGTTTGGTAGAAAATTTATCAAAACAGAGGGATAACTTTACTTAAAACAATTAAGTTTAACGAACAATTTATTACACGGTTGTGCTCATAAAATTTAACTAACAATTTATTTCACTGTTTTGCTCATAAAATTACACCATTTTCGTTGAGTAGCGTCAGAACAGGACACATATTTTTCTAAGTTTATTTCAAATTAAGTATATGTAATTTTGTCGTTATATTAATTACAACATTCCTATTTTAAAGTAAACCAAATTAACCGAGATCAAAAATTCATGCGTTTTTATAAAAATTATTTAATTATGATGGTTAGGCAGAAAATTTATCAAAACACAGGAATAATTTTATTTAAAACAATTAAGTTTTACAAACAATTTATTACACGGTTGTGCTCATAAAATTTAACTAACAATTGATTACAAGGTTTTGCACAAAATAGTGCATTAAGAACAAAAGAGGCGTTGAGATTGTGATACTGATTTGGGATACACGCTGTGTGAGTGTACGTGACGTGCGCTTGACTTCGCATACATGTGCACACTCTAAACGGGGAAGGCGTCGGGTAGCATCGGGTAAGTGTGTTCCCGGCTATAGGCATACTTCATACCCTTCATACCTCATATTCTCACTGTTTATTGAGTATCATTAATAGTCTTTGTGATACATATTTGTACTACTAATATGTTATTTTAAAAAAACTCATATATTGGAAGTAAAAACGTGCTAACGAAAGTAGATAAATGATCATGATTTTTTTAATGATACATATAATATTTAATCGTTATTCGTCTAGTTAATTACTTGAGCCGTTTATTTTAAAAATAGAAAAAATTAATCTTTCATTTTAATTCTGGCCACAGAGAGGCTTCAAAACGATATGAATACATAATATTAAATAATAGCATTGCTATGTCATTTTATGAATTTGTGCGGTCCATATTCGCCTCGTAATAATTTTTTTATGAACTAATGTTAATTCGTATAAAAGGCTTAAATAATTCCTTTTGCTAAATATACTCGTAGATAATTGCAGGTCTTGTTGAAGCGTGGTAACTCAATTCTCATGCGGGCAGCCCTGACGCTTATTGCGAAATTGAGCGCGGAGCTGCATAAATAATTTCTTTGCATTACAGCCATTGAAGCCCCGACTAAAATTACCTGTTTGTTTATGGGCCTTAATTGATAGGCTCGGAGAGAGAGAGAGAGAGAGAGAGAGAGAGAGAGAGAGAGAGAGAGAGAGAGAGTGAGAGAGAGAGAGAGACACACAGACAGACAAAGAGAGAGAGACACACAGACAGACAAAGAGAGAGAGATAGAGAGAGAGAGAGAGAGTGAGAGAGAGAGAGCCAGTAAATAGTGGAGAGAGAGAGATTTCAATAGTGTGAATCACAAACATAAATAAATTAATGTAGTTTTTGTAGGTTTGTCATAACTGATCAAACTGGTCCACATAATCTTGTTGGTTTGTCGAACGTGCTTTAACAGTATACACAGATGTAAGATAAACACTTAAGATGGCGAAATACAAGCTACGGTATTTATAGACAAACCACCGGGGATATAAACGTCAAACCTGGACGAGAAATCTCTCAGAACTTTTTTTAAACAATATTCACAAATTGCTAGCAGTTCTAAGAAAATTGTCATTTTATACGATATACTAGATACGCCGCTGTTCTACCACTTGAGCTATCGTGACTTCGATCCACTCGGACATCAACTTCCCATATCAGCCCCACCTTTTGAATTTTCCCTCCTTTTCTCCATTTTTCAAATGTCG